CGTGCCCCCCGGGCGGTGAAGAGCTCCGTTTTGCGGTGGAGCACCTCCAAAAAAAGCGCCTGCTTCCCAGGACAAGGTGAGCAGCCGCGGCTGGGGCTGGGGGACTGGCCGGCCGAAGCAAATTCGCAGCAGAAAGCAGATGGGAGGGGAGTGGAGCGCCTGTCGCGTCCGCAAGGATCTGGGGCACGGCCACCGGGAACCGTGTGGGGACAGCGGGTGCCAGCACCGGCAGCAGGAGGTGCAGGGGCACGGCGGACTCTCAGGAGCATTTGCAAAGCAAATTGCTGCAGGATGGAGAGGGACAGGGGCTCAGGAGTTGGCCATGTCCCAAGGAAAGGGGGCAGCAGAGGCAGGTGCAGACGGAGACTTTTTTCCCTGGCCCCGCTCCGCGGGCTACCTCCCGCCTGATGCCGCTAGCTCACTGCCTCCTCGTGCATTTGCAGGTGCCCAAAGGATCCCCACGCTCGTGGGGAGGGGACCAGAGCATCATGGCACAGTCCATCTCAGCTTTCCAGGTTGCCTACATCTCCATCGAAGTCCTCATCGCCTTGGTGTCCGTGCCAGGCAACATCCTGGTTATCTGGGCTGTAAAGATGAACCAGGCACTGCGGGATGCCACTTTCTGCTTCATCGTCTCGCTGGCAGTGGCTGATGTGGCCGTGGGAGCCCTGGTTATCCCCCTGGCCATCATCATCAACATCGGACCACAGACAGAGTTTTACAGCTGCCTCATGGTGGCCTGCCCCGTGCTCATCCTCACCGAGAGCTCCATCCTGGCGCTCCTGGCCATTGCTGTGGACCGATACCTGCGAGTGAAGATCCCCGTCAGGTAAGAAAAATGCTCTGTTGCTTGGTCCCGTGGTGACTGCTGCTGGGGGTAAGGGAACTGAGGAGGTCACCAGCTCTCCTAGGAGCAGCCAGAGCAGGAGGAAAGTGTCCTAGTGTTAACTCCACTTGGAGGGACAGGGAACATCTGGCTCCAGCACTGATCTCAGCAGGCGCTGGCTGTGATGGGCTTCAGTTTGCTTGCAGAAAGGGAGAGATACATTTGTCTTTATCCCAGGTTCTCCCTGCTGAGAGGATCTCCTAGAGCTAGGGACCTGCCTCCTTGGGGCACATGGCATCATCCTTTGGGACAAGACCCCCAGGTCACCTCCCCAGGGAGAACCCTGCCTATAAGACTGACCTGCAAATAACTCCTTTCTCCATCCTACCCCTTCTCAACACCTGCTGACAAACCTGAGCGCGCTGCAAACACAGCCCGGCCACCTTGCTGTTATGCTTGGGCATCCGCCAGTGGAAACACTTATTTTGAACTGTGTGGCTCCGAGAGGAGAGAGTTAACTGCTTCCTGGCCAGTGCAGTGCCATGGCCCCTCACTTTGTGGCCAGCTCTGTGGCAGGAGCAGGGGGTGTTAAAGGTCAGGACAGGATGCGATGACAGTGTCAGTGCTGTTCCCCAAGGACACCCTGGCATGTCTCCTTTCCCAATGTCAGTCCCCCTTGTGCTGCATGAGAACATCCCTGGGCTGTAGGAAGGAGAACGGGGTGTTTTCCAGGCTCATGGGCTGCAGGAAAGCTCCCGCTCGCAGTGACCTGCAGAGAGCTCAAGCTGTGGTTCAGCTGTGCTGTGGAAAGGCTGGTCATGGGTCCCACGAAGTCCAGAGGGGAAGAAACATTCCCTAAGGGAATGGCAGGCAGCTGCATCCTGGCTAAGAGAGGAGGGGGAAAGTCGGTGCTGAGGACCAGTTTGGAGCACAGTGGTCCATGCAAGCAGTATAGGTGGGCATGAGAACAGCAGCGCTGCTGACTTGCAGCCTGGCCGAGCACAACCAGCTTGAGCCCCCCTGGATACAACCCCCTTCCTCAGAGTATCAGTGTAAGGACCACCAAAGAGACCAAACGCCCTCCTGTAAGGTGCTCCTGTGGGACTAGGACCTCTTTCCAGGACAAGACTCCCTTGTCTCCTCATACAGGTGGATGGGGCAGGAGGCACCCTGCAGTGCGGCTTGGGAGTGCCTGGCATTCCCAGATCTATTGGTTTGAGCCAGAGATCTGCTGCTTTGGGGATTCTCCCCTAACAGTGGCTGGCAGCGGATGCTTGGGGAAAGAAGTGTGTGTGTCAGGCGAGAAGTCCTTGCTACCCACTCAGCTTCTGGCGATCGCTAGCTTTTGAGCTCTCTTGGAGCACCTCCATCTTCTGGGAATTTGTCCAATCCCTTCTGGAAATCATCCTGCCCCAATGCATCCCACATGGAGCTACTGCAAAGCAGCTCTTCCTTTGGGTCTCATCGGGGAACTTCCCGGGCGCCCTCTCAGTCTCACGTGGTCTCAACTCCTTTGTGCCACACACGTTTTCGTGGGCCTTTGCCAACTTCCCAGCTCAGTGCAGTTCTCTTGGTCAGTAAAATCCCCATCCTGTGGACCCAAACGTGCTGTGCAATTCTCACCCTGTCATCACTCTCAGAGCGTTCCTGAATCTCCTGCATCCTCCTGGAGGTGGGGATGGATTCAGGACGTGGGAGGGCTGCAGGTTTTTACATAGCAACACTCTCTAGCTCCTCGTCTGTCATTTCTTCTAGCAAATTCAAACAAAGTCTCTTTCCTCCCTTACTGCGTCTGAGCATCAAATGGGCCTTTTCAGGGAAGTTTCTGCTCTGCCAACAGAATCTTTCCCAAGAAAGTTGGGACTCCCAAGAATCCTTCATGCCACCTATAGTTTGGTCAGGTTTTTCTTGTGCAATATGGATTCTGAATTTTGTCATCCTGTTTCGTGCTCAGTCACTAGGTATCATGAGATTTTACTATGGCTCTTGTATCCCAATTTAGAATTGAAAGACTTTTGAAAGGCTGGCTTCTCCAGCCCTTCTGTTTTCTTGTCACTGGACGTTTCCTTCTTTCCCTGTTGCTAATTCCTTGCAGTTGGCAAGTGCTGTGATTTTAGCCAGTTGATTCATGTCCTAGGCAAAGCAGCAATGAAATAGCATTGGAGAACACAAATAGGGTCGAAAACACTGCTGAAGGATATTTTCTAAATCAAAAATGTGCCAAATTTCTCTTCACTTGCTGCTGGATGCCAAAAGCACATTACCGAAATATGATGCTGAAACACCTTTTATGGGCCCAGGTGCTGAAAGTTGAATCACAGCTTCACAGTTTTGCTCCTCTCGGTGACACCAAACCCATAGATGTGCAAAGTGGTGCTGGACACCAGGAGCCTGAGATGCCCTGGCAGGACTTAGGTCCCTCACTAGGTGCCCACTGCCAGGCCACCTCCATCACTGCATGTTGCCTCGATTTCTCTTATAGCCAAGAACTAGCTTGGATGCTTCAAGGGATGATTTATCTGTTCTGCTTTGGTCAACTTGTTTCACCCAGTGAAGTGTCCTCGCAGCTAGGGGTGGTTGGTACTTGACTTGCACTGATTTTTAAGGAAGGGTGTGTTGGGAAAATCTGTCTCCCTCTCTAAAAAATATCCCCTGCTGTAGCCTGATAGCTGGCAGCATGTGTGGGGATGTGGATCTCGCTTCTCCTGGCATTGCCCAGGCTCTGCATCAATCCTGTGCCCAGAAAGGGCTCTGGCACCTGGGTGGAAGCTGCATCCCCTGCAAGGAGGGTATCCCCATCGTGGCAGTGGGGCTATTGATTCCTCGCCTTCTCCCTGGTGTCTGAGGGTCAGAGCCCTGCTCTGTGAGTGCTCACCTTAACAAGTCCATCACCCATGCAGCACCCATGTATTTTGGGCTGCATGGCCAGGACTCAGCAGACAGAACTGATGGGAAGAGCAGAGACTGAGGGTAAATCATGACCCCCAAACCCAGACATTCCCAAGGGGCAGGGGGAGATGTTCTACACCCACATTTAGCAGCTCATGCCTGGGAGAGCAGCTCATGAAGGGAGGCATCTCCAGAGATGGGAGCTCCTGGGCTCCTCCAGCAGCTGGAGGTTTGCAAACATTGGAGCTAGGGAGGAAAACACTCCGGAACACGGAGCAGGGGCATGTGCTGCAACACGGAGGTGTGGAGCATGGCTGGCCAGTGCCGGGCCTGGATGGGACAGAGCCAGGAGCGTGCGTGCTGTACCCTGCACTTGTGCCAAGACAGGGCTGCTCAGAGAAAGGCTCGAGATAAGCCTGGCACAGGGAGCGGATGCCCGACAGTGTGACCAACACGTGCCCCAGTAGGGAGGACGGGGTCCCTGCTGGCTCCTCTTGTGCCGCCCTTACGTCCCGGGTGCTGCTATCAGCTGGTGCAGGGCTGGCGCTGGCTCTGACGAGGCTCAGGAAAACGCTCCGAGCACTGGAAGGGGAAATGCATTTCTCAGGGGCGGCTGGCAGGGAACGGGAGCAGCTCCTTAAATCTCCATGCCACCCTCATGCCAGCAGCAAAAGAACAAGCAAAAGCACTAAGAGCTTCCCTTGCAGGGCATCGCTTGCGTTTCTGAAACCCTGAAGGGATGCACAAGGATCTCAGGTGCCACCGAGGTCCCTGTCCCATGCTGGCCAGCGGGGATGAGAAGAAGGCAGGACTGTTGGCTGGAAAGAGTTGACTGAAGGAGAAACTAAGTCACCACCAGGCTTTCAAAGCTTTCTGCTTAATTAGGCAGTACCGAGCTGGGACTGGAAGTGCAGCTTGGCAAAGAGGGGAGAACAAGGTGTGGTGCAGCCTCCTTATCCCATGGCTGGCTTCCCCATGGAGCCGAGGGCAGGCTGGCCAAGCAGACACTGGGTCACGGATGGCTTTTCCACTTCCAGCCTGGGTCTTTAGGGCAGTCCTTACTTAGGGGACTCCCTAAAGTGGGCTCCAGACACACTCATGCTGAGCCTGGACAGGGATATCTGGGCTCACCATGCAGCATGGAGGCCCATGAATGTCCTGGCAACTTCAGCAGCAGGTAATTTCTTAGAGAGGGGAAAAAAAAAAAACACAGATAATTTCTTAGAGAGGGAAAAAAACAAAAATAAAAGGGATTTTCTCAGTCTCTTCTTCCTTTTAGTGACCTTCCCTCCACCTGAAGGTCTTGAGTACCAGAGGGAAGGGGACTTTGGTGACAGAAGTATGTTGATTGGTGAAGAGCTAGGAGGCAAACTCAGCACCCCATGCCACCAGCAGAGTCTGGGGACTGTGTTGCTCCAACAAACCCTCTCCCTCTGTCCCAAAACCCTCTGAAGCACCATTGCTATGGGGGGATGTAGGAACATTGCTCAGCTTGAGCAGGCTGGAGAAGGGGGTATTGTACTTCCCAGACTGCAGGAGCTGTTTCAAACAGCTGGAAATCACCTAAAATAGATCTGATGTGCTCATGCTGGTGGAAGAGCCCCCCATCTCCCCTCTCACATCCTTCCTTGCCGTCCCAGCCTCAAGGCAGCACCCCAGGCGCCCCATTTCCAGCAGCACAGCAGGATCCCCCAGGCCAGCCCATGCTTCCTCCTTGCAGCCACGTTCCCCACTCCGGGAGAAGATGAAAGGAGTTCAAAAGGAGGGGAAGCGACAGACAGGGAGCGTCCAGCAGGAACTGGCCCTCCAGCCTCTCTGCAGCAGGATGCAGAGGGGGATGCTGGTGGGGGGGATGTTTGGGGAGGGATGTGGCTCCTTCGGTGCCTGTCTCCGCTCGGAGATGCTGTGTCTGGAGGTTTTGAAGAACCGGTGTCTTGAGGACTTGTCTCAACCAGCAAGGGGCCATGGGGTGGCCGGATGCATGGACGCAGACAGGTCTTGTCTCGGGTTTTCCTTGCAGGGCCTCCCCCCACCTGCTTGTTTTGGCCCATCATCTCCTTCCTCAAGTGCTTTGTAGCTCATGCCACTAAGGGACAAACTGGGGAAATCTGCCT